TGTTGCTGTAGCTGTAGCTGTTGCTGCTACTGTTGTGCGTGACAGTGGCCCAGGAATATCTAAATTTCATGCAAGCATACCGTTGTATATTGCAGCACGACACAGTATACGGTAATATTCTGCGTAGATCTACTTTGCATAGTTTGCTCTGATATGTGCTACTAGACCTACTACACTGCACTCATTGTACTTTTGAATCCTAGGCTGCTGTACACTGCACTGGCCTGCACACCACAGCACACATCGCCAACCCGGGCATGGTCCGGGAAGGGCAAGCCTGCTGGCAAACAGCAGCGCAGGTGCGCAAAACACCCGGGGAAAGCGTGAAAGCAGCTGCTGAGGGATAGAAGGGACTACCCCTACAGGAACCCAGCCTAACAGTGGGGATAAACATATCCTGTGACTCGCAGAGCTCACTCCGGGCAACATCGGCGCCTCAGCCTCACGGAAGTACATCAATGATATCATCTGGTTAGGACTTCGGGCAGCAACACCTACAATCTACTACGCCAGTGAATACTCGGGGACACGGTTGCAATGTAGCTGCAAGCAAAGGCCCCCAACACTCAACCCCAAACCCTGCACCACAGTAAGTACGGCTTTAAGTGCCCACGGTCTGCTAGAAGAGAGCCCACCTGCCATGCTTTGGATCTGCATCTTCGAAGGCTGAATCCTCAGCACATAAGGGAACAAGAATCTTGTGGAAAGCCCGAGTACAAGACTTGGGGAGAGGCATTAAAAAATACACACAAGACCGAATGTCTACATCATCGAGCATAGCTGCAGCTTATTCGCGGCCGTCGATGCTAGAAGTATGCCAGTATCTGAGGTCTATAAGGCTTGATGGCTTGTTTTAGGAACAGCAGCTGTGGGCTTGATGTTACTCCCAATCTACCTATGCGTATACATGTGTACATATATATATATATGCCAGATACTATCGTATACATATACATACACATACACACATATACACATAAAAATACATATGCATATACAAATACATAGACAGAGACAGAGACATAGACGGAGACATAGACATAGACAGAGACAGACATGGTCATAGACATAGACATAGACATATATGCATGCACAGGTACATGTACATTATACGCATATGTATATGCACACACTGACGGCTCAGCTTCATGTGCAAGCACTCTAGAGGCCGAAGCTCCGCCAAGCACGATGTAAGGCTTGCTTGACCTGGCTGATGCTGTCGGTGCTGTGCATCTTTTGCTTCCACTGTAACTGGTGGTCCCGGTCGTCACACTGGCAGGTCAGCATGATGGTCCAAGCATGGGCCCCACGATCACAAAAGGAGTACACGGCCGGTTGTGCGGTAACAACCAAGGACTGATCATCTTGCACAACGCCCCGGCTGCATGCCACAAAATTCTGGCAGTCAGATCCCAGGATTTTGGACACCTCGATCTTCAACTCGTGTACCGTCATGCCTGCTGCCGCTGCCACTGCTGCCTCCCGAAAGCCGCTCTCCGCAGGTAGCAGAACAAGGACTCGACATCCTCTTGACTGCCTTGGCAGCCTTCTGCGCTTTGGCCCTCCTCCAAGTAGAGCCACTCCCCTCGGCAGCATGGACACTGTAGGACCTTGCCATCAGCAGCAAAAGACTTCAAGAGGCAATCCGAATGGAAGAAGTGTTGGCAAAGGCGGTTGCCCACGACGAAGTCCGGGGTTTCACTCTCAGAGCTGCCGACGCAGTCACCCAAGCCAGACAGGCAAATCGAGCAAATGTCGGCCTCGGCACACTACTATTCGCCCGCACTTGTGTGGACTACTGCAAACCGTGCTAGTAGGCTTTAGTAACCTCTAGCGTCCTGTGGCTCTCTTTACGAGCACACGCTTTGTTACAGAAATGCACACTGCCGCCTTGGCAAGCTCAGCTGCCCAGCGCTGCGGATGCGTCGGCTGCGAAAAGGCCGCAGCGTCAATTTTCATGGCTGCCTTGTGTGCCCGAGCTGTCACAGGGAACTAGCTACGTCCGCAAGAGGAGACCAGCAAGAGGCGGGAAACCCAGCTGTGTGTTGAGTGGAGCCTTCGGGTGTTCAAAGACTCGCGCACAGCACACATAACTATCTTGCAACGTGGGCCACCCATGCTGGGCTCAGCCTTGGACCCCGGCATCGTGGCCCCAGAGCTGGACGCGACTCCCCACCTGCCAAAAAGGGAAACGGGGAGGGTCGCTGCCTAACGCAGCTAACTGATGCTTTCGACTCTGAACCTCGGAGCAGAGGCAGCGGCCCTGGTCTTCAGAGGAGGACACCAGCGCCACGTCCTCCTCAGTCGGTTCATAGTCGATGCCCTCAGCGTGGGCGATCTGCTTTGCCAGCTCCCAGGTGCTTGTCGTGGCAGAGACCTCAGCTTGACGAAGGCCAGGAGACACGCCCCCAAGCAACCCACCTGTTTTTCGATCATGGAGCCTCTACAACTTGGGGCGGCAAGCCTTGCGCCAGCCGCTCCAGAATCTGGTACCGTATACTTGCAGCAGCATATCCCGTTTCCAGCTCTGCTGGCTCTACCTCTGCCCCATATCCATCGGTGGTTTCGCCCGTGTCGGACGCTGATCCCACCATAACCTCATGCCCCTTTTCTGGCTGGGCAGGTGCTGCCTTCACGCCTGCAGGGCTCGGCAGACACGCTACCTCGGCGAGAACTGTATCTCCGTTTTCCAGCACGTCTGATACCAGGTCCTCGTCATCTATCAGACCGAGTGCTCTTGATCCCTCCCGCAAGCAAATCACCCGGCAGCCCTCGAAAGCTGCCAGCTTTTGAACGCGACGTGCGACCTCTACCTTGAAGTCGTGTACCCTCTTCGTCGGCTCTGTTGGAACCAGAATGGTCTCCGCCTCCTGGCCCTCCTTTCTCAATCTGACATGGATACGTAGCATCACGTGAAGCCCTTCTCCGGCACTGGCAGTTCCAAGTACTAACTGCACCTGGGAGGAGCCAAAATTGCACAGCGTTCCCATGCGCAGACGGTCTCCATGTTTGCAGTCTGCAAGCTGTGCCAAGAGCTCATGAGCAGGCGGCTTAGTCCCACAGTGGATTTTATACATGCTTACACATACATACATACATACATACATACATACATACATACATACCTACATACAAACTACCTACGGCATATGGTACAAGAGCAGGCATGAGCTGCAGGCGCCTTGTGCTGAATGGCTCAGCACAGAAGCAAAGTCATCCTTACTCCGCTCAAGGAATGCTGCAAAACTGCATGCAGTTTGCTATAGCTGTCTAGTTGTGAGGGACTGCTGCACCTTCAACACGGATTTCTGGGAAGCAAACAATCCTTGGCATGCTCTGCCAACCCTTGGATGAAGACTCGGCTTGCCACAATTGCAAGCTAGCTCGTGCCCCACAACCCTGCGCGAGTGCCACGTCGATGCAAGATGAAGCAAGTCAATGACACCCATGAACCTATGTTTCGATGCACGTGAAGGTAGATCATAAACGTCGCGATGTGCTGTGGTGTACCATAATACACTGCTGCGCTGCATGGACGAAAAACCTAGAGTCCCGAGCAGAATCTTAATGTTTCCTGGCAGTATAGCAACAACTAGCAGACAAGTCTCGAATCTGTCCGTATTGCTGTTCCAAGGCTCTGACCATGCCTGCCGTGCGAGGATTGATGACTGGCCTGCCACGAAGAAATAACGGATTGCATTCCGATCGAAGTCCAAAAGGACTCGTTTACTCAGGACTTTGCAGGACAAGCTGGGTCTATGAGCAGGGGTCACGCATGACCCACGTGAAGGTCTCCAGGATTCTAGGGCTTCTACCTTCTATACGCCGTAATCACTGAGTTTTAGTACTGCTACGTGACTGTCCTAGTATGTACTTAGGGATTGTTCACCAGCGATGCTCTCTCTCTACCTTAGACTCATTAGACCGCAACAAAAACTCGCGTCGATTTCACGGCACAACTCAGAAGCCGTCAGCTACAAGCAGACGGAGGCCTGGAAAAACAACGACCATTGGCAACGGGGAAATACGCCCCGACTTCTGGCCCCATGCATGGACTCGGGAGCGATGGGCAATTCCCGTCCCCTGGCTCGCAGGCCCCGAGGCGGGGTTTGGAATACTCCCATTTTCAAAAGCAGCTCAGAGGCAGGATGGAGGGGATGGCCAAACATTTGCAGATGGCAAGCTGGGTCTGCTGGGTTTGGGATGAGCACCTCCACCGCTAGGTGTGGTAAGCACGGGCAAGATGGGCGAACTTCAACCTGCCCCTGCAGACTATGGGGGCTCGAGACCGGATGGCGCACAATCTCCAAAGTGCTTGCAAACAGGCCGTGCGCCGGCTCGGCTCAGGAGCTCCTGGAGCTACTGCCGGCAGGTCGCAGAATCGACAGTGCTCGAAATACCGAATTCTCGGGCATCTCTCGTAACAAGCCCTGTAGCTGCCACAGAGCGGAGCGCTGGAACACCCTCCCCAGAGAGAGCGAAAAGAGGCCACTGAGTCGATTGTTGCGAGCTCACATGTGTCTGGGCTATATATGGCTATATGGCTATATTCACGCAAGTGGACGTGCGCGCCTGGTTCCGCCAACACGCCAAGGTAGCCTGTGCCCGCAAGCCAGGCTGGGCATCCAGGAGCGCGATCCTCAAGGTGATGCCATCGGGCCATCCTCGCGGAACAGTGCTGGCACGGTCAAATCAACACCTTGAGCGACTCGGAGCGATGCGAAGTCTGCATGATTGTTTTCTTGCTCGTACATGGGGATAAGGAGCGGAAGACACCTCCTCGGGCTCTGAGGGCTTCAACCGTTTATCGGAGAGCTTGAAGATCTGACTTCCTCATGCTTCCCCGGCTGCTCGGCTGTTTGAAGCGACGGCTGCCCAACTCACGGCTGCTCAATGCCCCAGCAGAGTCCGCCACGTGGCGAAGCGCCAAAGCCCGGGCCCAAAAACCGGAGCTCCAACCTTTCATCTACCTGCCGGCGAGGACATACGTATGTGAACGTACCTGCATGGCCTTTAGAAAGGTGCTCGATTTGATCTTCGCTGTGGGCTGTCGGGTGGCAGCTTGTCAACTAACTTCAACTCCCGCAGGGCTCGCAGTAAGGCAAAGCTGCTAGCCTCCAGCTGCATCAGCGGCATCACCCACATGAACCTGACATCTTGCAAGACAGATCTGCGCTAGGCCATCGGCAAAACCCTCTCAATCCGATAGTACCCTAGTCTTGCAGCTTCAATTGGTTCCTGCGATGCTCGACCGGAAACACAGCTTCATCACTGTCGACATGCAGCACTACGAGCCTCAACACCATGACCAGCTGACAAGCCGGGCTCGACTGGCCGCTTAAACAGCGTCCATGGCTACACTTCTCCGGAACCGAAACACAGCTGGCAAGACATGTGCCACGAGAAGATCCACTTCGCAACCCTATCACCGTCGTGCGAGCTCACGCACGGAAATTGTGGGCAATGATTCGTGGTCATGCGTTTCATGTCCTCTGCGTATGCTCCCAGGCAACAAATTGAAATAGAACCGTCCTCTCTGCTCCTGTGATGCAGAACAACTTCCGGACAAGAACTGATGAGCCGAAATCTTGTGCTGCATAAGCACGACTCTGCACCATCTACGAGACTGCACCTTAGCAGATCAACTTATTTGGTGCATACATACAACTATGGAATGGTCGATATAGACGGTTATTCCGTTCTACCTGTTTCCGAATTTCCTGTTGGCACGATGCGGCATCAAGAGCTCGCGCTGTCTGTCCGCGAAACTTCCTGCACCTGGGCTCGGGAAGTTAGAACCACCGAGGTAAAGAAACCTTGGGCAACCAGTCTCCGTCAGGCTTTTCTCTTCGAGAGGCAAACGAAAACCTCAAGTTAGAAGTTAGAACCAAACTGCTTCCTTGAGTTTTGGAGCTTGTCCACTTGAAGTTCATTCATTCTACAGCCGGTGCCGTCAGGACAGGTTCCGAGCGATTGAAGAAGCACAAGCAGCACACCAAGCCCCGCACTTCCGACGTGCCATGGCGTCTGTAGCTTGTCTATCTCGGGGTTTACACAACCGAGGACTTTGCGCCACTACATCTGACCACAGGGAACCGTGTTGGGGCCTGCTGTTCCGGAGCTAGCGAGTATCACAGTAACATCCACATTGTTGGGACCCCCAACAAATCACCCCTAGTTTGTTGCAACCCCATATGGCCCACTCTACTGGACACTGCAATGGCAGCTTCGAGCCTTGCACAAAAAGCTTCTACGAATATGAGGCTCGGTGCCTAAAATGTTGATGTCGATTCGCCAAACTAAAGCAACTGCGAAACGCCGTAGCAGCTTGCGAACCGCCACGAAGCCCTGAAAAAAGAGAGACATGCACTGCAGATCAGACCGCAGCCCCCCAAAATGTCAAAGACATGCTGCAATGATTTGGGCTAACGTTGAGGTTAGGGTTCAGATTTGTGGTTTAAGGTTTGGGGTTCACAGGGTTGAAGGATTCTTTCAGTTTCAGGTTCCGCTTGAGGGTTGGGCTTGGCCTCTAAAGGTTATTGGGGGTATGCTGCCGTGCGCCGTGCAAGGCTCTAATATGAAACCCCTTCTCTTCCTTCCCCGGTTCCTGGGCTCGCAAAGAATGTGTGGAGGATGACAAGAATGCCATTGAAAGGGGGCACGGGGTCCAACGCAGAGACGTACAGCCATGAGAAAAAACCTCGACCACTCGAAACGGATTGCGTTTTAGGGGTTAGCGATCTAATCGAACACTGCCACGTTTTTTCTCGTCGTGACTATTGGCGTCAGGGAGGTCTGGCTGATGTTCCTGTGCACGCGAAAGAAAGTGTGCTCCCCATGCAACACCCCGCTTCAGCGCCGGCGTTGCTTGCGTCGCCTCTGTGTGGGCCCTTGACACCTGGAGCCTTTGAATGAGCCGCCGAGACTGTCCGCAACATCCCAGAGAATCTGTAGGTTTGCCTGAACATGATCTTGATCTGGCCGTCTCGTGCAGCGAAGGAGGCATCGAACAGACTCCTGCTTCAGAACTGGCGCATGCGCTGCCAGAGGGAGGATGGAACGGAACCTCGGCAGCTCTCTTAGCTTAGCTTTGGCCTGAGGCTTCTTCGCTGAGGTTGGTGCTGTGCAAGTGCTGCATCCGAGACCGGGAACCGCTGCCCAACTGCTTCACTGGAACACCTAAGACCTAGGTCAGAACAATCGGTGGGCATGTACCGCCACCAGCAGCCTGCATATCTGGAATGTCGCTTGACTTCGGAATTCGCGGACTGCTCCCAAAGAGTGCCAATGATCGCTGTGAAGCTGCCGGGTTTCTTGGTTTCTGAGAGCCCTACGAAGGCATCACGAAGACGCTCATGCACGGGCTCTCAGCACGCAAAGCTAATCAGATCCACAAAACCTGCCGGGTGGCTCAAGGTAGGGCTGAAGTCAAGGGTGCTTCTTCGGTCAGGTCTGCAGAAATCGATGCAGGATTTTTCGCAGCAGTCTGCCAGTGCTGCATCCGTGACCTGGAACCTGCCCAACTCTTTCACTGGAACACCTAAGACCTAAGTCATAACGACAGATGGTGGGAGTGTACCCCCCCTCTGCGTCTCCCCATACTACTGCGATCTTTAACTTTAAGAACCCACAGACACTGAAGCTGACCTTGGCCTGTCGGGTGCCAGCACGAAGGACCAGACATTGCCAGGCCCGCCTGCAGGCCACGATGCCCCAAGCGCTAGGTCGCTAGGAAGCTAAATCTCCGGTGGACATCAGAATCCAGAATCAGCCACGGCAGGGGCACTGCTCCAACCCGGTCTAAAGGTCCGCGCCCCCTTCGCGCACTTGGCTTTCAGTAACCTCCAACGATAGAAAGCCGTACCCGAACTCCTTCCTCAAAGCCAAGTGTTCATATGAGGAATCTGCACCCTGCCCGTATTTGAGGAAAAATCGTAAATTCATCTCTGATCTCACAGGCACTGCTGAGTCAAGAATCAAAGGAATTGCGCGCTTAGTTTGCCACAACAGGCATCATTCGGCATCATCACTTGGAGCCTCTGTGGGTAATCTTGGAGAGTCCAACTGCAGGTCTTGGAGGGTCAAGCCGCAGATCCGAATGCTCTAGACTTAGCTGGTCCCCNNGCAACTTCCGGCCATTTGCTTGCAAGCCTAAGGTCCCACGCCTAGGCTCAGGCTTGAGGGCCCAGACCCATGGACCATTTAGATGACACAGGCGCTGCATACTCCAGGGTACCAGTCTCAGACTTCTAAAATGCCTGTGACTGATGGTGTCTGAAAGTGGTACCCTCATGTCGATGGCCTGCGCTTGCCGACACCAGCGTGCGAAAACGGTTGCCGACATGAGCAAGCTGTCAAGCGGTCTTGGTTTTAGGCTGACACGCGGGAGGAGTTCTCAACGCAAAGCGTCAACATCGCCGAGCAGGCTTCTTGCAGTCTGATCCCTTGCAAAGCGCTCAGCACCGGGAGCGCATGAACTGAAGCTCTGGCCCCTGCGACTGCCCAACTCTGCTGTACGAGGGGTTTCGAGCTGGCCGCATTTACGGCTTGCATGACATACCCATGGGTTAAGTGTGAGGCACTAGTAAGGGTGTGACTTCCTGTCCTTTGATAACCCCCAAGACATGGGGCCTGCGCTAGCCGCGAGTCCGACGCGACCCAGAACGAGGCTTGCACGACCGCCCTTGATCACCCAACCATTCAAGAGTGAGCGATGGGCTTCTATTCAAGTGTATCAAAGCCCGGCTGTGTCTCATTCCGAAGACGGCACGACCC